TCTGTAGAAGACTTGAGCATCCTTGGATTTTGATATCTGAAGGGAGTCCTGGAACCAGCCTGCAGTGGACACTGAGGGCTGAGTGATTCTTAATTTGCTTGGGTCAGTGTTTCAAAGAAGAAATGAAACTGTTCTGTCTTCCACCAATTGTTTTGAGAAAACAAAATATCTATTACTAGCACCCTGAGAGGCTGAGGCAAGAGGATGGCGAGTTCAAGCCATTTTAAACTTAGCAAGACCCTGGCAAATCAAAAACAAAACATTTTTTAAAGTAAAAAAAAGTAATATTAAGGATGTAGCCAACTACCACCAAAAAGAAAAGAAAAGATCCTCAAGGTTATATGGATTCTGTCTGCTCTGTCAGATGTCAGTTGTTTTTCAGTTGCTTGCTTGCCTGTCCTGATGCCGACTATCCCCGGAGCAGCCGTGTCCCTCAAGGCTGCAGATGAGGTGCTCTCTCATGTGTCTCCCACTGAATGCGCCTTCTGAAGCGTGAGCATGTGACTCCTTATTCTGGACTTTGCTCCTGTTACTTACAGCTCACGGTGAAATGCATCATTCACCACCGTTAAGAGCTACACTGTTCCACACTTCCTGTCTGAGGCCCCTCCCTACTCTCCTTTTTGAACCTTAAGCTCTGAGTACTAGCACTGCAGACTACAGGTTCCCATCGCTTAATTTTCATGCACTTTTCTCACTGCTTGAAATGTCCTTTATTCATCCCTGCTGGACCATTGCCTGCCTCACTACTCATCTTTCAAATATCTCGGCTTTTGAACAACTTCCTGTATATTTCCTTCTGAGCACATAGACTCTAAGCTAGAATTTGTATTCCCATCCCATGAGTGTCCGTGACACATTTCCCACTTTTATAACTTAAAAAGAAAAAAACTTTAAAAACTCATTCACATACTTTTTCTTTTCACTAATGGCTTATCTCTCAATGATCTAAGGGAAAGAACTTTGTTTTTGTTGTTCGTTTTTTTATATTTCTAGAGTCTAGTCTCTGGATGTGATTATTTTTTAATATAATAATGTATACTTGATTTACTTTTAAGTATGTCAATCAGTCACTTTATGGGAGCAGTGATTCATATGGAAACTCATATGCTATTTCAGCTGATGAATTTTAATTTCTGTAATAAATACTAGAATTAATGAAATCAGATACATTTTAAGAAGTGTGATGGTCATCATGTTAACAGTGACTGACATGTGTATTTTTCATCTTCAGGAAGTTACCTGAGCACAACCTGTTTCCATAAAATGTAGTACCAAAATGTGTTCTCTAAGGTTGGGATACAGTGTAGAAACCCTCCGTGTACTTGAATTATCACAGGGAGGAAGAATAAAATAAGTTCCTTATCAAAACACTGCTGTCAGCGAAAAAAGCAAAACAATGATCTTTGCAGCATCTTGCATGGTGGTTCGAGATAAAGTAAGCATGATAGCAAAGAAAGGTCTTGAAGTATGATTTGGACTAGAGTTTTTGGGAAAAAATAAACAATTATAGGTATGGGATGTTTAGCCCTAAATTGAAACCAGTCCTTTATGGAAATAATGTGAGGATTGAAATAAAACCATGGACCACATAATTACAGAAAACAGTCAAAAGTATCTCATTTTTTTATTGTGAAGTGGACTTTGATGTTGATTACTGGCTTTGTGTAATTATTCTTCTGGTTATTCTGATTGTCTTTATTGGCTTTGCTGTTTTACAGAACTTCCCGTTATTATTTTGCAGAGTGATGGAGCTTGTTTTACCATGTTTCCATTGGGCAGTGCATATGTCGCATCTGGCTTCTGGTTGGGTAACCAAAGATGTTGCACCTAAGGAATGAGCACCGTTGCTCTGTTGTCTGAGTTGTAAACTCAGCCCCAGTAAAAAGAAATTAGAGGGACAGGGTATCCGTGGGTGCAAGTCCCAAAGCTATGGTGCCTTTCTTCATGTGTTTATTTTTTCTCTTTTTCTATCCCTTCCTTTACTTGTATCCCAGGGGACTCTCTAGTTTTTGACTCCTTCTAGTCAGAATTAGCTAGAAGACCTAATGAGGCCCCTATTGTTTTCTCTTCTATGGACTCCTTGCCCTACACATGTCTTTACTTAGTAGCTCTTTTGGTACAGCCTTGCCTTTGATAAACTATGTCATAGTCTCTGATGGGCTTAAGTAAGAAATGAGAGGAAGGTGTGGAGAATGTACCAGACAAGAACACGGTGTATAGTAGGCAAAATCCGGGCCGTGGGAGGATTAGTCACAGGGCCTAAGAATTCTGTGGCCAAGACAATGGATCACTTGCTTCCTGAATGAGCCGTTCAGGAGGAACCGTTGCCAGATCACTGAATAAGATTTTCCGGAGACTCCTACCTAAGTGTTGGTTGGTGTGGGAGAATTTGTTCAAATCAATATTTCCAGCCTTTACATATTTTTACTTGGAAGATGTTGGAAGCTTTTTTTGTTCTGCAGAGGATATCCTTAAATTAAAGCGTGATTCTTTTGGTCAGTGTATGTTTACAAAAACTAGAAAAACTGTTTTAAAAAAGCACCAACCTTGGTTACACTTTTGAAAAGAAATAACTTCTTCCATTTCCCAAATGTGTTTCTTAATTAGAGCTTTAAAAATTGTCCCAAAGAGTCAATGCACTCAAAGTTGATAGCATGTCACCTTTGGACTTCTGCCCTGCATGCTGTTTGTATTAAAAGTAAAATAGGACCCTGTGCAGTTTCTTAATTAAAGTAAGGTTGACCTGCCACTTGATGAACTCTCTGGTTTTCAAATAAAACTTAATAGTCTTTATGGAATGCATGTATGACTGTATAAGACTCTGTCCTAATCAATCTTTTGAAACCAAATTAAGATATATATTCCTACTCTTGCTGACTTGAGTGACTATTGGAGATGATTGGTTTTCCCCAACCCATGTGATAACAGTGAGGTGCTAATTTTTAACCCAGAGTTATGATTCCTCCTTAGGCTATAGAGAGTATTATACTTTTTCTGAGTGATTGTCTTTTTGAAAATTGTACGGTATGTCCACATGAAAATTCATTACCGTTTCAGAACAAGACAAAACTCTTAGTCCTTGACATTATATACGTAGTATGAAAATACACTGGTGGTTTTAAAAGCAAAATGGAAAATAACAGATTAGTTCCTTGCAGAGCAAGTATAATGGAAACCTTGTAAATTTCACTTTTAACTCTGACACCCACTCTGTGTGCAGTGCTCCAAGTGCCGGTCCCTGCTTCCAGGGTGACCTGCCTGCTAGGGGAGAGGAGAGGAGCAAGCACAGGGAACCGACGCAAGACCAGGACAGCCTTAGAGGAGTGGAAGTACCAAGGGGGCAGGGGCAGTGAGCAGCTGCTTCTCTAGCTGAGAAGTTCAATGAAGGCGGTAGGAGCCGTGGTTTCGAGCTGGATTCTGAAGGACTTATTGGCAGAGACTGTAGAGGGAAAAAAGAAGAAAGTGGAAAAATGCCCATGGTCCCAGATCTGATTACATGGGCTGTGAAGTACACACACAGTATATATGATTTGGGTGGGGCGGAAGGAGGAACGTTCCTTTGGTGTTGGAGCTCAGGTTCACCTAACCTTCTGCTGCTGCTTAGTGGGGGAGACTGAAGGGAGAACCTTAGTCTTACCCAGTGGTCCTCTGTTGTTTAGCTTTCCAAATGGCCATTTTCAAGAAGTTGCAGAGAACAGAAAGGCTAGAGGCTTATGTGGGAAGGGCGTGAGTGGGCAAGAAGACCCTCAGGACGTCTGAGGATGTGCTAACCATGCTTCTTCCTCCCTGCCTGGCACAGTGCATGTAGAAAGAGCAAGGAAAACGTGGCCCGAGGAGTCTCGTGGCTGACCATCTGTATTCCATCTGCCTAAAAATACCTGAGATTAAAGCACATACATTGAGATGTGTGTGGAAAATAAAAAGATCTATTGCTGAGCATAATCTCGATGGACCCTAACCTTGGTGTTCTGTACCATCACCACAGTCAACAATCGCATTGTAGTTAGGCCTGTAAGATACATAAATTGTCTGATACCACATAGAATTCTTTAATTTTTAAAAGGTGGAGACAGATTTAAAAGAAGCACTTGTTTTTTTTTCAGAAAGGAAGGTATTTAAAATGGGTACTCAGAGCATAAGTTGATTTTGCTGTTATAAGTCATAGAGTTTCAGAGTGTGGGTAGGTAGGGCTGGGGGCACTTCTTACTCCTTTTCTGTAAGAAGACAGAGAGAGAGATAGAGAGAGAAGTAGTATGATAGTATGAAAGCATAGCCTTGAAAAGGGCAAAATGCAAACCTGGGTAATACTTTTTAAAGCTGGCTTGTGCATACGCATATCTTCAGAGGGGTTTAAGGCTTGAAGGAGAAAACTGGCGTCCTGTTCAGGATCAGCAGGTAACTAGCACAGCTTCCACTGTGGGTCACTTGCCAGCTTTTCCTTTCATTTGCTTTAAAGTAAACGTACTTACTGTCTCGTAGTATGTTGTTGTTTTGCTTTCTGAGAAATGATGTCACGTTGAAAGCTGTATCTTTGGTAGCGTAGCCAGTTCAGTCTGCTTGGGGATTGCTGTAGGGGCCTGGCAACAAGTCATCAGGCAGGTTGTTATCAATAGGGCTCTATAAGAGCACACAAGCGTGTGACTATGTGCACCTCGTACTTCTTTTAAAAACCCTGTTTGAGATTCACATTTAATAGGAGGCTTCATTGGCTCTGGAAAATATGCTTTGTTCTCATTTAGAAAATATTTTCTGTATCAATTGAGAGAATTTTTACTCCAAACTCTGGGTAATATATAAAGTATGAATTTTACTAATTGCTGAGGAGTTTGATTGTTACTTTTGTGAGGCTGTGTAAGACAGAACCAAGGAAATAAGAAGCAGACACACCTTCCTGGGTGAACTTTCTCTTTGAAAGCTATATTGGGAGGGTTTTCTGATGGGCCTCCTGATGAGGTTCTGCAGAGATGTATTTTACGACCATACTTTTTCTCTTTCAGGTTCTGCCCCTTGCTGTTTAGCAGAAGAAGGAATTTGATGAGCCACCCCTGCAATTTACTCACATAATTCCGGCAGGCCTGACAGAGGGACAGCATCTGAAGGAGAGAAGCTATAGCCATCTGAGCATAAACCACGGTGGGCAGCTCTGACAGTAAAGCCAACCTAGATTCCAAAATACAAGGTGAGTTATACAAGCTGAAAAACAAACAAACAAACAGGTTTCCACAGGCAAAAGGTCAGTGAGACATTACCAAGTCCTAGGGAAATGTTTCTTTTACCTTTCACTTTTCTCTTGGCTCTTAAAATATGTTGTGATCTTGGTTATGTTTAGTCATCTCAGTAAACGGGGCTGTTTTATCTTTTTTAAGGATGAGAAGTAGAGAACGTGCAAAAATACAGTTAATCTTTGTCTGTTTTCTGTCTGCAATCTAATGTTGTGTGGAAATCAGAATTTACCCTTCCCTTCTTGACTAATGAGCTTGTAGGCCCACAATTAAAAATGGTTGAAATGTGATCCTTGGTTTTACAAGCAGGCAAACCTGCATGTTAATGCAGCCACACATTTTTAAAATGTGTGCAATTTTTAGTAAACTGTCAGAGTAAAAGACAGCTAATTGTTTTCTCTTTGCTTGTGTGATTTAATTGACTAATACGGTGCTAGTTGTACTCACAGTGTTCTGTCATCTCTGATGTTTACGCTTCTGTTTTCCGAGCCATTTCACATAGGCCATTTAGCATGTTAGGCCCACAGGTTGAGTCTTCATAATTCAGATATGTTTCTCCTAGTTCTCAGAAGCTTGCTGCTTCCTCCATGTCAGTGATCCCCAAAGTGCAAGATTGTGGCATTAGTACTTTTGGGAAAATTTTGCAAGCCACATATTCTATGTGCTTTTTTTTTTCCCCCCCTTTGGCGGTCTTTTAGAATTTATGTTTGGAATCAGAAGATGAATTTTTCCCTTGACTCCGTTTTTAGTATTAATGTCGATGTGGTTCTTGGCAGTGAGATTAGTCTATTAAATCTTTAGTTTACCAGATAATTTGAGTGATTTGCAACTCATTGCATCACAGCGGAAGATGTTCTAGGAGAGACTGTGGAATGTGTGTGCTCTCTGGAAGGCGGACTGCTTTGTGCAGCGATGAACACACTCTTGAATCTCCACCCCTTGTCACAGTGCAGGTCCAGGAAGGAAAGATTGATGCTCTCAGTGAAGCAGAGAGCCTGAACATGCTCTGGTCTTTTCATCCTCACATTTTTATTTGATAAATGGATGTTTTATGGTGCATATTCTGGAATACAGTGTGTACTATTTGACTGTGGGGGGTAGAATATAAGTACTTGCAGAAAATACGGGAACACATAGTCCCTCCCTTCCTCCTCCTTCCTCCCATCTTTCCTCATACAAACCAGTGATTCTTTGAACTCGAATATCAAAGGTAATCAATGAGAAGGAAGAAAGCAAGCTGCTTTTACCCCGCTATAGAGTTTTTATTTATTTATGTTTTATTTTGTCTTTTTGAGACAGGGTTTCACTGTGGTTTCAGGCTGGCCTTGAACTTGCAGTGATTCTCCTGCCTCAGCCTCCTCTGAGTACTGGGATTACAGGCGTGTGCCGTCATGCCCAGCATGTTTTAAACTTTTAAGCTGTCTTTTCACAATTCCTTCTTCCCAAACCACCATAAGATGGGAGTCCAGTATTTGTGATTTTTTTTCAAGTTTGTTTTTACAAATGGAAGAATGATTTGCATTTTAATTAGTCTGACTTCCAGGATGATTCGGAAATTTACTTTGTTGACTTTGCACATTAAATGAATAATGCCAGGAAGTACTGTGGCAGTGAACCAGCATGAGAAGTTTGCCTCCCTAAAGTTTAACTCTGTGGGTGGAGGTAGTCATTGAAAGGTTTGAAATTTCAGAACTAGCAGTCATCTAATAGATGTGTCTTTTGTTATGTGTCTTACATCACCCTGATAGATCCAAAGTGTTCACTCATTTATGCAGACTTCATTCATCATTCATTTTTCCAGGAGTCTATTGAGTGCTCCCGTACACTGTTACATGCCCTAGGATTATAACAGGGGAGCTCTAAGCAAGACAGGGAGGTCCTTGGGGACAGAGTGAGCTCATGCACAAACAGCATGGCCAGTGAGACAGTCAGATGCTGTGAGTGAAAGGAAAAGAATATTGATTAGCTAGAACCTATTCTGAGGTGACACTTGAGCTGGGATCTAAAGGATGATGTTTAGAACATGAAATTTGCAATACTATAGAGTTTACTCCCACAGTAACTATAGATTTCAATTTATTTCCAAATGCATTTTCTTTTTTGCTCAGCTGGCACTATAAATGGCTAACACTTAAATCCCCTTGGTTTGTCGGCTTCTGAAAAGCTGGTGATGACTGGAGAATATCCTGGGTGACGAGTGTATGGGAAATCTCTGCAGGATCTTTGAAATTTTGTGCAAATCGAAGTTACTCCAAAATAAAACATTAAAAAAACACTAGCGAAGAAATGCCAGAATGTATACTAAGTCAAGTGCAGTACTGCTTAGATTTGCAAAGATGAAAAAAGGCGCAGTTTAAAAGAAAAGGACCACAGAAGGAAAGGGTCATCATTTGAGTACTCTTCAATTCTAGACTTCAGTCCCATGGCTCATTTTTGGACTAGAGAAATCCTGCCTTTTTAAAATGCTTCAGTTTAACTACTGAAATTACATCAATCTAAAATAAACTTACAAAGAGAATTACTGTATCTCTTTCCCTTTTTTATGCTCAACTAATTCTTGACAAAGATGGAAGAGAAAGTCAATGAAAGGAGGATAGCCTTTTCCACAAATGATGCTTGCAGTTGGATGTCCGTAGACAAAATGGTGAGCCTTAATTGAAGCTCCACATGCAACAAAATTTACACAATAGATTTAAGTGTAAAATGAAATATAACTTTTAGGGAAAAAAAAAGACAAGAATCTTCAGGATCCAAGACAATTCAGTGAGTTTTTAGTCCTTTTTTTTCCTTCTTTTTTTCAAAACCCTCCACTTTGCCCTCTTCCTCCTCTTCCATTTTCCATTGAGTACTTTATTTAGAGAGTAAATATTAATGGGATCTTCAGAGAAACAAAGAATTATCAGCATTCACTATTGTTCATTGATTGCATATCCTAGATAGTCTGATTCAGATTTCAATTATTCTTTTGTATTGTCTCACTAGCAATCTCATACTGTGTTAGTTCATTCTGTGAATACAATTACCACATAATTATGGGCACTATGAATTTTTGAGCATAATTGAGAAGGAAAATAAACATGTTTTTAGAATAAAAAATGCTGAGTAGATATATTTTTACAGTTTATTTCAAGGGCAGAGGAACCATGACACAATCTTAATCACTATCAAATAATATTTGCATTCCTCAAAACTAGTCAAATATTAACTCGATAAAAGGTATTTTGAAAGGAAAAATTAAATTATTCTGAAGCATTTTTAAGGTATTCATGAACTAATTTTATTACTAAGAACAAATAGTTTCATTTAATGTTTAGAATGGATATTCTGTACACTATACAAAGGTGTTTTGGAAAATAGCACTACAGGAGATTTTAGTATTTTCAAAGTCCTGTAGGCAAATAAATTGATTTTGGCCACCACAACTTTAAAAATTTTTTTTCTAAACATTTTTAATTGACAACAGTTGTATATATTGACCTTGTACAACATGTAGTTTTGAAATACATAAACAATGTGGAAAGAGTAAATCCAACTAATTAACATTGCCTCACATACTTATTTGTATGTGGTGAGAACATTTTTAGAATCTATTATCTTAGCAATTCTCAAGATCCCTTTTTATTTTTAAAATTTTTGCATTTCCCTGAAATATTCTTGGACTAGTGTTTATTGTTTTGTTTTTAATCCTTCAGATAAAATTTAGCAAATCTTTTTCTTTTGGTACAGTTAGTGAAAGCTAATATTACAAATAAAATTTACCCTGAACAAAACAAGCTTCCATAGTCCACCAGTATTTTATCATTTACATATGTCTAAGCATACCTTGTCTTCTTTTAGATGTTAGGGGAGGCTGTTGAAGTTGGCACAAATGATTAAATCTATAATCTTCTGCATAAATGACTTGTCAGCTTCCATGCAGATTAATAGGCCTCTCTGCCCTGGAAGCTGTTTGATAACTTGTGTCTTTAGCATCTGCTCCAAGGATGCTTCCTCATAAGTCATGATTTGGTAAAGCATCCGGCAAGCTACAGCCCACAGGCTACATTTGGCTTTCAGCCTGTTTTGCCAATAAAGTTTATTGAACACAATCCTGTTTATTCCTTTGCATATTGTCCGTGGGTGATTTTGTATTACAACATCTGTGTTGAGTAGCTGCAACAGAGATTGTATGGTGCCCAAAGCCAAAATATTTTCCATCTGATCTCTTACATAAAAGCTTTGTAGATGGCATGGTCAAAGTTTGTGCCTATGTTTTTAGTTTCTGAATTTAAACTTCAAGAGTTTTTGCCATTGGATAATTGAAAACCTTTTATGTGTGATAGATATTTTTGTTTTATTTTCTTTTTTATTCATCAATAGAACACTGTATTGTGTTTATATAAAATTATTTCTGTAAGCTTTCTAAACCTATTAGAAATAACTTTGTCACATCAAGACACTCATGACTATATAAATGTTAGATGCTAACTTACTAAACTCTTCCTCCAAAATATTTCTAACTTCTGAGGAAAAATCTTAGCAGTACCTTTAATTTTGAGGCTCTACATCCATGAGTTGGGAGTGACTGTGTGTCTAGTACTATCTGACTGTGCCCTGGTATGGTGTTGGATCTCAAGTACGGGATCACCTTGGCAATCTGTGCACCTGTGCCTGGTGCAGGCTGAAGAATCTGCGCCAGAAGCCAGGAAATGAACCTCCAAGGCAGAAGTGAAGACTGAGCACCTCTGAAGAAACAGCATCCAGCCCTCCTTCTTCTTCCTTCCCTTTCCTTCCATCCAGGCCACAAGTCTGTTGGTTGGTGCCACTCATACCCAGGGTGGATCGTCCATCTTCACTAAATCCATTCATTCGGTCACACCGAGAACCATGCAAATCCAGTCAGTTGGGCATTTCTTATGCCGGTTGACACAGCAGTTAACTATCACAGCTGGAACAACCCTCAGAGTTTCTGGTTCAT